GGGATTTGGGGAAGGGGTGGAGTTGAGGCGGGGCCGGGGGGGGGGGAAAGAAAAAACGGGTGGGGGGCGGCCAAAACTGTTTTTGCTTGGGGCGGCAAAAATCCTAGAGCCGGCCCTGATGGCAACAAACTAAAATGCATTCCTTTGTCAGCAAATACTGTTGGAAGATGCATAGAAAACATTGCTGAAGATTTGAAGAAACAAGTATTAGAACAAATTACGCAGTGTGGAGGTTTGCTATTCAGTTGGATGAAAGTACAGATGTTTCTAACGTGTCTCAGCTTATGGTATTTGCTAGATTCTGTTTCAATAATGAAATACACGAAGAACTACTTTTTGTGAGCCACTAAAGGAAAGATGCATCAGAGAAGATATATTCTCAACGGTAAATGACTTCTTTAATAAAAACAATGTTTTATGGAAAAACTAAGTGTAATCACTGATGGAGCAGCTGCTTTGACTGGAATAAAGAAAGGACTCTGGGGTAAGGTTACAGAGATAACACCACACGTGAAATTCATTCACTGCATCATTCATAGGCAAGCTATTGCAGCAAAGAAGTTGGAACCAGAAGTGCACAAAGTGCTACAGGATGTTAATTTTATAAAAACAAGACCTTTAAATAGTAGAATCTTTACAATACTTTGTAATGAGATGGGGAGTGACCATGAAAATATTTTGTACCATACAGAGGTTCACTGGTTATCTCGTGGCAAAGTACTTAAAAAAAGAGTTGTCCAACTTAAAGATGAGTTACGCATTTTTCTTTTACAAAAAGACAAGTGTTCCAAATTTGCTGACCTTTTCTGTGATGACAAGTGGCTGTCAGTAGTATGCTACCTAGCAGATATTTTCAAAAAAATAAACACACTTAATCTGTACCTTCAAGGTAAAGGTGACATTTTATCAATGAGGGAGAAAGTAACTGCTTTTCAAAAGAAACTTGTGCTATGGAGAGAGCATTTTGAAAATGGATGTTTGGAAATGTTTCCATCGTAATGTGATTTTGTTGCCGAAAACGATGTAAGTGTGTCACCTATAAAACTCTCATATCTGCACACTTAAAAAACTTGGAAACAGAATTTTCTAACCTGTTTAAAAGTCTTCCAAATGAAGAGTTTCAGTGGATTTGAACCCATTTGTTAAAAATATAAAAATGC